TAGTCCTCTCTGACTAATAGACAGTCTAGTGTGGAATTCATGAACTTTGAGTTCATGACTAGTTTTCCCCCAATTAAACCTCCAATTTCAAAGTTTGGTCAGAGTTGAATTCCTTCATTTCCTTTCCATTTATATTAGCTACCCATGAGGCATTTGTTTATTTCTGATTACATCTGTCTCTCTGATTTCAACATACAGTGGTTATTTACAATAGTTATATACCTTTTCAAGGTAATGAATTCTTTCATTGATTAGCTAATCAATTATGAGGCGTGGATTTGATGTCCTTGTTGCTGATTGATACCCTAGTAGTTGGATCAGAGGTACCAGCATTTCTTACGGTTATGTTGATTTGAACAAGTACCATTTATTTGTGAACTTTTTGATTGACCTGAGATATCTAGATGATAGAGAGTAGACCAATTAAGGTGATGTCCCATTATCACAAAGTCAGAGATGTCTCTAGGATTAAGGTATAGTTTATTCTCTATAAGGATTGAGGACCATTTGTGTCTTCTGTTCAAATTGTGTCTAGTACAAAACTGAAAAGGATAGAACTGACGGGGAATATTATCCCATTAGGTTGGTACCAAATTTTCAGTGTTGAATTTTCCTCGTTCAGGCCCTTTTTTAGAGGAATCAGATGTCCCTGACGTAAATTTGAGCTATACAGTTTTGAGAAATGAAAACTCATATTCTGCCAAGAAGAGGTAGGCCGTGTAGAGATGTTAATAATGTGGCTCATGTTCTGATGCCACTCTGGTCGAGGACTGCTTTAGTTTCATTGCAGATGGAGGTTTTGTGTATAACGTTTAAAGAGGGGAAATGGAAAGGAGGTCCGGGATGAGGGATATGGAGAATTATGTGCTAGTAGATTTTTCAAGGGACTCCTCTTTTTGTCTCAATAGACAGTTTTTGTCTTCTCTCCCTCTCAAAAGGAGAGCAGGAACTCCTTGTATTTAGTCTCTTAGTTGTTTCTAGATTAAGTAAATTATGGTTTATAGACCCATTGGTGTGAAGTGAATCGTAGGAAAAACAAAGCAACAGTGGGACTAGTTTTAGAGCATCGTGATCTCCATTTGCCTAGCTTTCAGATTTCCCAGCCTTTCCTCACTGCATACTTCACCTTTGCCTGCTTTTTCTGCTTTTCTTTTTTTAAAAAACACTATTTTACTTCTAAACTGCAGTCTGTAAAAACAAAACAAAACAAAACAAAATGGGGGGCATATTACACATATCTAAAAACAAAGAGGAAAAGAAATGAACTCTTGTTAATAACTTCCACTTTGAGTGCTTGGGTTGGTTGCAAGGCTCAGGGGACTAATCTGCTGAATGTGGAAAGATATGGAACCATTTGTCCTGGGAGAAGCACTACATTAAAAAGAAGAAGCAGAAGTCATGGGGGGAGGGGGAGGCTCTGCTGATGAAAGTAGCTGTCAAATTAGCAGGTCTGGAAGTTGTACTGCATATTGTTATGAGCCGCTCAAGTTCACACCAGAGCAACCTGCTCCATCCATCTTTCTCAGTTTACATTTTAATTGGCTTGTAGTTAAGTTTTTTAAACACTGTGAGATTGCTGACATACACTGTAATATCATGTGAATAATTTATGGAGGTTGCTCAAGACAAGCTTTTTCTTTGATTTGAGAATCCAAGGAGAAGGGGGAGAAGAAGGCTTGAGGGGTCTGCGGGAGGGGGGAGGGCAGGACAGAAGAGCAGACACAACTGCTTGTTGTGTACCGGCTGGTAAATGTTTCTGCGGTGTAGTCAGCAGCGTTTGGGATTTCAGGGAGGTTTGTACAATACAACCTTATTAATAACAATTCTGTCAAGAGAGCACCCAATTAAATTGAATTGGGTTATGACTCCCTCTTGGATTCTTAAAATGTGTGGATATAAAACCTCTTCGATGTGAGTATTGGATAACAAGGGTGGGTGGTGATGGGTTTTTTTTTTTTTTTTTTTTTTG